TCGTTATGAAGTGCTAGTCCTACTGTGAAGTGACATCATACCAAAATAAGACACAGGTGTTTTCTTTCATATTTTCTACTGCTTAAGCTAAACTTACAGGCAGGAAAGTACATCAGCACTAGTAGAAATACTCCCCCCACACACTTCATAATTGCTATAGTGCCCATGGAAATATCTTCTTTAAGTTTCTCAGTTAAGGAGCTGTCACAAATCAGGCCTCTGTGGAGGTCTGGTACTTCAGTAGCTCCTAGAGTCGGTATTCTTGTTGCCATTGTTGTCATCAGGCTTTTAACTTGCAGGACACAGAAGATTTGAGGGAGTACTTGCTCATCTGAGGTACTTCACTAGTTGGTTCTCCTAACATGAAACACCAGCTCAGTTGTTCTTTAGAAAGTGTTTTGAAATGTTTGGGGTTTTTTTCTCTTGAATTTTGCACTGTCCTCAAAAGTTTAATCATTTTATTCTGACAGATATTTGGAGCATATGCTACACATCCCTTCAGGTTTAGTGACCATTACTATGGCACTGGTGAAACATTCCTCTACACATTCAGTCCAAATTTCAAGGTAAGTGGGTGTTCACTTTCTCAAATAAGATTTTTGGGTTCCACTTCTGAAACATTTATGAGATTTTTATGAAGACAGCAATATTTGAGTTTAGAAGATGTGCTGGCTGTTGATGAGTGCAGTTCACTCATTGCTTCAATGCAATACTTCAAGCAAAATTAGCTGTAATTATCTGAAGTGCCAAGGGGACAGTCTGTAAGGGTGAGAAGAGTGTTTTAAGTGGATTGAAGGGGGAAACAAGAAGGAATGAGTAGTAGACTGTCAAAGACTCACCTTGGAAGGCAGTGATATCAAGAATAGGGTATAGTTTCACACATGCTTAGGATCACAGTGACAACAAACCAGAGATGAGTTCTGTTGAAATACCCCTTATTGTTCATGGCTTATGCATTTTTCAATATTGAACACATTGTTCCTTTTTAACAGAATGTCTGTTGATATAGAGATGCAAGCAGGATTTTAAAAATTAGGGTGCCTTGTTCATAGTTTTAAATATGCATTGTTTCTTTACTTTCTACCTGTTAACTCTTCCCCCTTCAAGAAAAAATAAAATATGACTACACCAAAAATACCTGTTGAGAGTCAGTCCCCAGCAGTTTTAGAGTAGAAGAATCCGTTGTTTTTTTTTTTTTTTTTCCACTCCTCAGGTATTCAAATGGAGCGGAGAGAACACCTACTTCATCAATGGAGACACCAGCTCTCTTGAGCTCGGAGGTGGAGGGTGAGTGAGTGTCTGGTTTTCAAATCATGTAGCTAACTTTTTTTAAGAATGAGAATATGAACAATGGTAGTTGCAAGAAGAACTAATCAGTAAAATGGCTGAACTTACTTTTAGTAAACTATTTAGGGCAGATATCTCAGCAATTTGATTTCTGTTACAGACCCAGAGCAAGTTCTATCACTTAAAGAGAGTGACTGATGTTAGGAGTCAGGTTTGTTGGTTTTTTTTAACTAGGAAAAACCCAGATGTTTTGGGTAGATACATGTCTCATTGTTGAAGAGGTTTGCCACTGGAAGATAATCCCTAATGGCAGTTTTGCCATCAGCTTCTAAGGGTTCTCAGATGGTCCTTATTAAATTGTCATTGCTCTGTTGATACACAGAGCAAGGATACAGAAAACGCTTAATCAGGTCCTAAGTTTCAAAGGTCAGTGGGTATCAAATCAAGGGCTAAGGCTGTACAACTAACCAAAGCTAACTGCAGGCCACAGTGCAGGACACCTGGGCATGGTTTGCATCACGGGTGTATAAACACCCCTGCTCTGCCTGCTGTCTGTGCCCTGGTGTTGGTGCCAGCCACAGCTGAGTGGCTCGGGGGGCCACGGATGCACGCTCAGTCCTGCGGTCTGCCCCACTCGCTGGCGTAAACAAAAGCAAAGGGACTGCTCCAAGAGCTTCCTGGCAAGTGCTTTGCCAGGATTGAGCCCTTCACATTTCGTCTAAGAAAAAGGGCCTCAGAATTACCTAGATTCCTCTATATCACTGCTCCTAGCTGATTCTACAGCTTCCAGTACTTTTACTATTAACCTGAAATATGTGGTGTATTTCCTTTTTAGTGGCCGGTTTGGTTTATGGTTAGATGCAGATTTGTATCATGGGCGAAGCAACTCCTGCAGCACCTTCAATAATGACATCTTATCTAAGAAAGAAGATTTCATAATACAAGATGTAGAAGTATGGACATTTGAATGAAATACTGACTGCCTTAAGGACTGGATCCATTAGGCACTTAAAAGAACTAGAAGGTGCAGGCTGCCTCACAACGTTACACGCTTTTTCCTCAAGTTTGTTACGGAGCATGACTACGCAAAAAAATCCCAACCAACCAACCCAAGAAAAAACAGAGCTGGTTTTGAGAGGCAGCAAGAGACAGAACAGTAAGAAATCAGTCTGAAGTGTTTTTTACTTGCTCCTCCAACATTTCTCCACTGAAGAGACAATGCTTATGAAAATATTCATGGTGTATAAATTGAAATTTTTTTCCTGTAACTGTGAAAAAGATCCTGTGGGAAAACTATAACTATCTAGTACATTCCATGTGTATTTATGCTCAACATATAAATGCGAACCAAAAATAAAAGGTTACTTTACCAAAATCTACAGCATACTGTTTGCCATAGAAAAGAATCGGAAATAGGTGTACACAGCACTTAAGGGAACATGTTTTTAAAATCTTTTTATTTATTGTTATTGTATAGCAGATTTTTTTTTGTAAATGTATTAGCTATGAGTTTTTTCTTTTTAATGTTTCAAATCTCAATTTGATAAATAATAACTGTTCAGATAGGTTTCTTATGCATTGGTGTTTATTCTGGATCAATTTATTTGATTTCTGAAGTTAATTTTTATATTTTTATTTTGTAAATGAGATTTGGTTTTCATTTTACCCTAATTAGAGGGTTTGTTTTCTGCCAGAAACACTTGAGTGCATAATTCTGGTTTGGTTTTCTCTGAGATGAGGGAGAAGGTGGATAGGGCTTCTTACTAACTCTGCTGCCACATTCCTGTTAATAGATTATTATTTTGGCAGTGCATGGAGACACTGGGCAAACTGCCACCTGGTATAGACTTTTATCAGCTCTGTTGCAGTCAACAGAATTGGGACAGCATGCTCTGAGCATCTGCCCTGGTATTATTTGACTGTTTACAAAGAACATTTCTAAGAGAGGATTGTTTTTCTGTATCACCACCAACTGATTCAAAATAAGCCACCCACTGTGCTTTTATGAGCATTTCTCTACAAATTGAAGAATTTGTTAAGGAGAAAATGCAATTGAGATTTAGAGAAGAATGCTATTTCCCTAACAGGCCAGGTCATGTTAGTGTAATACTTGCTTCTTAGTAATTATATATATGATTTCCTTCCCCAAAAAAAGACTTGAAGCAACAGGCTGGTTTTGGACTTGACAGGCAACTAAATATTCTTCTTTGTTTTTCGTGAAATAATCAGATACTTCCCCTCCTTCCCCCACAATGATGAAGAGAAAAGAGTGCATGTTACAAAATGGAAGTTTCAGTAAATAAGGAGAGTGTGACACAGAACTGGAAATCTTCACTGTTTGCTGAGGAATTCTGCTTTCCCATTAAGCTGTGGTTTTGTTTACACAATCCAGGCCTGACCCAACATTAGGATGCTGTCCTGCCCTTAGACTTGAACGTGTCATTGTCCTGAGAAAGGCAGGTTTTAGAAACGGTAGTGTTTTTCCATTCACTAAAACAGTACAGTCTAGTTTTGGAACATGAGAAACTGAATAACACAACTCAATTTAGTTACCCCTCTCCCTTTTCTTTTGTTTTAAGCTCTTGAAAAAGCCAAATGTTTTTCTTTCAGAAGTATTACTAAATCTTAATCCTGCACAGAAATTTCACAGTCTAAAACCAGTGCTATATACAGTAAGCCTGTAACACGCTGCACATGAGCTTTTCACACTTCCCTTCTATGTGGTCTACTACAGACATAAATAATGTTCTTATTGGTAATGCTGTAAAATATTTTAGGAGTCGCTAACAGCATAACGCTTTGAAGATACCAGGAATATCTAATACTGTTTGCTCTTTTAAATGGTGGCAGACCACTTAATAGTTTAAAAAAACCCCAAAACCAAACCAGCCAAGTTCAACATTTTACGTACATTTCACTATTGCTGCCTTCAACTTACTCCATTATATTATCCTTGTCAGAGCATATCTAAACGCTGTGGTCTATATTCAAAACAGTGTTGTTCAATCAAAATTCTGTGACCCTTGAAACTATGAATATTGAATATATGTAATGCAGTGCTATCACAATATTTTCAATAAAGGAATTTATGCATTCAGAAACTTGTTACAGATGTGTTTTCACAAACTTTAGTACGTTTTAAACATTAAAAGATGCATCTTAAATTACGTGTTATGCTGACAAATACCTACGTCTCCCCTCAAAATGAGAATTGTAGCAATATTGTATTTTAGAAACATGGCTAAGGAGATGGGAGTTCTGGGGGTTGGTGGGTTTTTGGTTGTGGTTTTTTTTTTTGTGTGTGTGTGTGTGGTATTCTATCTCCTAAAACAGAGCTGTATTTTGAGTTTACTCAAAGACAGGCTGTGACAAAGGGCTAAGAAATACCAGTAAACAGTTAAACAGTTGACCTAGTAGTTCTCCTTGCTTCTCTCAGCTGTAGTGAATGACATGTATTCCCTCATCTTTTTTGACCAACCTGTTCTCAGAAGTCAAAAGTCCATGTACATAATTTTTGTATACACCCTTTATATATTGCTAGCGTTCATGTGTTTTTCTTTCTGTTCAAGCAAGACAAAGGCATGCAATGCCTTAAAAGTGTGTAGTTCTTGGCTTCTGTTGGGTTTATGGTATACAGAGGTGACATTAAGAAAAAAACCAACTACATTTGAAATGGAACAAGTATGCTATTGGTGAACCTTGCTTTGAGTGAAATGGCGGTAAGGATTTTCTTAATGTAAAGTAAGAGGAAAAATTACAGTCGCTAGTAATTTTTCTCTTGGAGAACAAAAGTTTGTTGTTGCAACATGAAGCATAGGTACTTTAGTGGTGCTTGGATAAAGATTTTTGATTCAAGACAGTGTTGAAGTGCTTATTCACAGTAAGGCTTGTAAGTACCCAGCTAGTGCAGATGTTTGATTTGGTGATGGTTTTAGTGCAGTTTTGCACTGGATGTTTTGTACAAAGTTCGCCTTAGGGCAAAGTAAAACCCAGTTACTTTCAGAATAATCCTCATGTGTAAACATTTCAAGATTTCACTTGCCAGTTTGTAGCAGAGAAAAGGAGCAGGTTAGCTCATTGCAAAGGGATTGCCTTGTGCTCTACAAGCCAGCAGATGCTGGCAAATGAGCAGCTTCAGGCAGAATGGCTGTGTCCTATTTGTACAAGCACAGCTTGCTCTGAAAGACACACTTTTTTGAAAAATCTCATTCTAAATTTTTGTGACTCATTACCTCTTTAAGCACTATGGCCTATCATCTGTGGGACTAGTACTTGGTGCCATTTGGGCCTCAGGAAGAACATAAACATTGCGATTCTGTGGCCAGGGATGCTGCAGCTCTGCAACTCCGGTCTAATGAATGGTGCAAGTGATTTTAAAATACAAATTACTAAGAAAACATCTTTGGAAATTGGAGGGTAGCTACGACTTGAACATACATTATGTTAGCTTTGGAAGCAGTCAATACAGTATAATAAAGGTGGTGAAACACTGTAACAGGTTGCCCAGAGAGGTGGTAGCTGCCCTGTCCCTGGAAACATTGAAGGCCAACTCTGAGCGACCTGATCTAGCTGAAGATGTCCGGCTCGCTGCAGGGGCGTGGGACTGGCTGACCTGTAAAGGTCCCTTCGGACCCGAACTGTTCTGTGATTCCGTGATTTGAATGACCTCAGAATGCAGTCATATAATTTTATTCCCAGTTTGTACTTTTTTTTTTTTTTTTTTTTTTTTTTTTTTTTTT